TCCCACCAGTTAACATGAACCTGACAGGGCCTCCCTTGAAGAAGAATGGTCCAAACCAGGACCCCCCGAAATGTCAGGTTCCATGTTAATTGGTGGTTATATGAGCCCAACCATTGTTTCACGGTGCCAATTGACCCCCAAGGCATTTTTTTTTGTGCAGGAATGAGAAATGGAAAGACCCACAACCATCCTGGGAATCCCCAAAACCGGTTCATTCCCAACACCTGGACTTGGTGATTCCCTACCCGTCGCACCATCAAGTAATTGCCCGTGTTTCAGTGGTAACCAACAGGAACCCCCCCATTTCAAGGGTTGAGACCAAAGCATGTTGTTGCGAGCTAAAATGCGTCACCTAAAAAGTTGCCACTTGGAGTGTGGGAAATCTCGAGAGCCGGGTGAAGTCCACAAGACGTGCAGCCAAACTGTTTTCTATAAACCCAAGCATTGTTCTGGTGGCAACCGAAAACCCCACAGCCCATGTTCTTGCTGGTTCTCAGATGAGACATGCAATCACCCACCATCCAAGCTATGGTTTTTCGGGAGCTCCAACCAAAACCGGTTTTCATTCCCGCTTCCTTCCGTCCCCTTCAATGGTCAAAACAAATCCCGCTCCACCCGTCAGGTGGACGTGGCCCCCGCCTGGTCGGAGGCTCTGAGGCTGGGCGAGGCGAGGCTTTCGCGCGGCTTTCGCGCGCGCGTCTTGTCCCCGGGCTGGAAGTATTTTTGCCTAGATAGCTGTTGCTGTTTTTTGGGGTAAAGTGGATGGACAAAAAACAGCAACTGGCGATCCAGGTGGGGTCGATAGGCCCAGAGAAGCTCCTTTCGGGCGGTTTGGGGCGGCTTGGGAGGGAGCGTTCAAAAGGAGATTCGGTTCCAGAGGGTTCGGGGGCTTTTTGAACCCTCCCAAAATGGGTTGGGTTTCAAGGGAAAGGAGGAACCGAAGCCAGTGTATGGGTGGGTGTCCTTTTTGGTTTCTCCAAAGAAGAAACCATACCCCAAGTGGTTGAACACAGGTGGGTTCCGGGTTCTCCTCAACCACCTAGCCCAAGAAGCCTGTCAGCCATGTTCCTCCCTGGCAGTGTGGGCAATGCAAACATGGGCCGACCAAAACGCAACTTGAGACCAAAACGACCCGCGGAAACAAGGCGAAGAAGCTACCTGGATCGCCAGTTGCTGTTTTGTTCCATCCACTTTACCCAGGTTGATAGGATGGGGCCCGTGCTATTCAGAGCGTCGCCAGAGCTCACATGAGCCTCCAGCCAGGCCTGGCTGCGAGAGCAAAGCGGCTATAGCAGGCCAGGGGAGAACCGGAATTCACTGAGACGCTTGCAAGAGGTACCATTGATTTGGCCAAGAGCTTACCGGTGAAACGAACAATGAAGGTCCTTACTTGGCCCATGGCGGTTCTCAGCCATCCGGTGCCTAAGCTTTTTGGTTGTTTTCAGTTGGTTTGTGGGGCGGGAGGGGGGGGGGTCCGAATTTAACCCTAAAAAGCAGTTCGCTTCTAGCGTAGGCTTTTTGTTGTTTCGTGTGTTTGGCGGGGTGTTCCGAATTTAACCTAACCCACTCAATGCGTTCAACCTTTCGCAGGGGATCTGACAACGGACCTTGTCAAGGTTAAAGAACTTGCTTTTCCCGTTTCCTTTGTTTTGTATACGAATTTCTTTCAGTGAAAATGTTTTGATTGCTTATCAACCCAGCCTGAATCAGCGTTAGAAGTGACTCAACGTTTAACCAAGCATTCTGAGCCCAGTTTTCTGGGGGCCGCGCTTCTTTCCGGGTTTGCAGTGACAGGCCGCTCTTTGTGACCTGTGGCGACTGGGATTTGCGGCAGATGGTGGTGGAGCAATGCAAGCAGTGCCAGCAGCCAGTGCCAGGCATGTTCAAGAAGTGGCTGAACATAAAGATACTCGGCGCTTCAACCAGCGAATCGTCCGGTTCCCCTTAGGCTTTTAGATGTTTTGAGTTGGTTTAGTGGTTGGATTTCCGAATTTAGCCCACTAAAAGTGTTCGCCTTTGTTGGGTGATTTGAGGACAGCTCAGAGTGACAGCTCAGGATACTCAGCCACTTTTTCGGCCCTTCACAGTCACTGCATTGACTCATTGCCATAAATCCATAGGTTGGGTCAACATGTCCAGTTGTCGATGGTCCACGTCGGAGGCATGGGGGTACTCATTAATTAAGTTTCCGACCAAAGCCAGTGTGCGTAGCTCTTGGGATGCCCTTGCTCCCTCTTGGAGCCTGTAAGCAAATTCCCCTGATTTTTTACCCGGGCGTGGCAACTGAGGAATCTGTTCATGGCGAACACCGGAAAGCCTTCGACGGGCATGAAAGGTGCTTCTCAGCAAAGATGGATTCCACAGCCTTCGACCATCTGACAGGTATGCTGGAGTCGCTGGAGATGCCTTTGGAGGGCCGACATCATTCTGGTTTGGATGACTGCCGGAACATTGCCAGGAGAACTCGACTCAACGGCTTTGGCCAAAGCGGATGTTTTTGCACGTAACAAAATGCAGCACGCTTGGCACACCTCCGGGACAATGGTGTGGTTCATCAGATGGAACGCCAGGTTCCGTACATGCCGTCAAGGAACAGCCCAAGTGTTTGCATTTCCGAAATCGGTTGGCCGCTCTCGACTTGGGGGGCAAGACATTTCGGATCAGGCCAATTGTGTGTTTAATAGGGCCTGTATCTTCCACCCTGGAGCCAGAGGGCCTGAGCTTCAAAGAACATCGCGGTGTTGCAAAATTTTGTGTCGCGCACCCTGCCGAGCACTTCACAAATTTGTGCAACCGCGGCTCGCTCTTTTTGGTCCCCCTTGGGTGAAGCAGAAATTTCCGCCCGCCCCACTCAGAAGTTCTCCCACCCCCCACCCCCCACCCCGCATTTGGATTCTTAGCGACGTCAGCTGCATCTTCTTCGCGCAGGATCCTGGCGGAGCTGCTTCGGCGCGGCACCATTCAGGCGGGATCCGAGATCAGAATGACCTGTCTGGAGCCGATTTTTGAGGCAAGGAAAGCCACGGTTTTGAGTCTATCCCAAGATGGGCTCAATTTCAGGGGACGGTTCGCTTTTTTGGGGGGCTTCACAAATACTTTGATTGAATCCGTACACAATTCCTAGTCCATTGACGGGGCCCCACTGAAATTTGGAGAGCTAGCCAACAAGCAATTATAACAGTCATTAGAGTTGCCCTCGCAAATGATATCCACAACTGTCATAATTATTGGTTGGTAGTCGTTTGTTTTGGGATCTTGGGGAGGACGTGGGATAATTTGGGCCTACTCAGTATTCTTTGTATTCCTTTTTGTTTTTGTTTTTTTGGGGGGCACCCAAAATTGTACCACAACCAGCAGGGTTAAGAGCTTGGGGGAACAAGCGATTTCGTCAGAGGCTCACATTGAGTTGAGAGACAGTGTTCATTGCTTGCGGCACTTGCGGTGTGGAGAATTCTCCATTCTCAAGATCTTGAGCCAAAGGTGTTTACATCGGAAGTGAGAGGTCGCGCAATTTAGCATTCAATCTGCCGAATTACTTTGTAGTGAGGCCTGGAGGTAAAACGAGCTTGCCATGCATGTCCTTTTGCTTGGGGATACCCCTTACTTCAAGCTCCGGAATGATAGAACACATGGTCAATATGAGCTTCAAACAATCAGTTGTTCAGCGGCGGGTCAATCGTGTAAAAACCATGCAAGTGTCCTACCTCTTGGCTAATGAAGATATACCATGATATACGTTGTTCGTCTGCAAGATGGAAGCTGATGGATTGCAGACTTTAAGTGAGATCCTGGGTGAGATCTTGGTTTAAGTTTGCCGCTTGCCTTCCGGAGTGAGAGGGGAACTCAAGGCAGATCCAGATGTGGGTTTTTTGCTGACTGGAATTGGAGGGTGAGGCGTTTTGGATGTCAGCGGGCTTGACGTTTTCGATGCGGGTCGAGGCTGCCTTTGTGTATGTGTATGTCATGTATGACTATATGAATACATATATATATATATATATATATATGTATGCACAACACCTATACATATGTTTTCATATATGTCTAGACAGATCATCACGCATTTGTACATGCACATATATATATATATATATATACAAATGCGCAACACATACATATATATATATATATAACATTATTGTATGTATACGTGGAATTGTGTACATATATATATATACACATAGCAACACACATACATACGCATCTAAATCCCCCAGAGGGAAAGGGAGGCCGAGGCCTTTGCCCAGCCGCGCGGCCTGCCTGGAGGACGGATCAGATGGGCTCGTCTTTGGAGTTGGTAGCCCTGCGGTGGTTTTCAAAGGAAAACCAAGAGGAAGGTCGTTGCTTTGTCATTTTGGGATGATGGTAACTGGGTCTCATGTACTGAATTTGCTGAGCGCCTTGTTGGAAAGAGCATGTTACTTGGTGGCTCCCAGCCGTTCGGTTCCAGACAGGTTTTTAGGTATTTTGGGTTGGTTTTGTGGTTGGGCTTCCATTTAACTCACAAGTTATTCACTTTTGCGGGGGATCTGAGAACAGCCCAGTAAAGGGAGCCGTTGTTCCATTTTTTTGCACCAAAATAAGACACCCAGATAAAAACCAGGATTCGTACCCTGGCTGATTCATAGAGGAGTGTCTCCGAAACAGGGGGGGTATTTGTCATTTGAGTCAGGGCCAGAAGCAGGGGGAGCCATTGCAGCCTAGTGACTCTTACTCTCGGCTGGGCCGGCAAGGCCCCCAGGACGAATGAGCCACTTGCTCCAAACCCGGGTAGACGAAGGTTAAGGGAGAATCCGTTTGCCACAAATAGGGGCAAATGTCCGCCTTTTCTTGCATGGTTCCGGGGATCCATTGACAATACCGATCGGTTTTTGGCTTGCTGCTTCTCAGCAGGGAATGAGAAATGGAATGACCACGGGGGGGAAAAAAACATAAAACATCCAACCTCTGGCTTCCTTTAAAAATTCGGGAATCCCCAAAACCGGTTCACTCCCAACACCCGGACTCGAGTATGACTCCGATGGCCTGGTTTCCTTTTGGCTGCGTGGAATCGAATGCCAGGACGCTTGCGAGGCGGGACGGGTCTTGGACCGGGGCGGGTGGGTTTTCTTCCATTTGCGAAAGAACTGTGTTTCTCTATGCTTCCCCTGTTGGTTTTAACGGGAATGCATGACTGGATGTTTTCCACAGGTCTTGAGCAAATGGTGGTGCGGCTGTGTATAGTTTGGCTAACAGTGGCTTTTTCCCACCCGGGGTCTGGCTTGCTATGTGCAATCACATAGGCACTCCAAAAAGTGTTGGCCAGCCCACTGTCTGCCGCTTCCTCGTCACTTTTTGACCTCTTACTTCAGGTCCAGGCTGGGAATTCGCGGAACGGCCTGCCTCGGTGACAGGTGCCCGGCAAGTGGCTGCGGCTTGTCTTTGGCGCTTCCTCTCCAGGCGGGAGCTCCCTCAGGTGCTGGAGGGTATGGGTATGGGAAGACGATGTTCCTTTTGGATCGGTCAGGTTCCGCACGGGATTGGCTCCCTCCATGGAAGTTGACAGCAAGGTATGCGAAGACATTGTTTTTCTTATGGATGCGCCAAGTTCCAGGATTCCGTGCTTGGACAGAGGGTGTGCATTTCCTCTGGCAGTTGATGGAAGCTTCGCCTTGACAGGCCAGACCTGCAGCCAGCCGGCCAGCTGTGGGGAGGGTTCCCTCTTCCCCAAACTTGGCGCAAGCTTCTGCGGGATTTTCGTGAGCCGGCGCCTCAGGCGAGCATGCTGACCCACGCCAGCAAGAAGGCGATGAAGGGCTATGCGTGATCGGAGCTATGATTGAGCCCGAGCTCCTGCGTGCAAAACTGCAGAGCGGAAGCTGTCGTGGCGAAGTTGCCCGCAAGAATATATATATATATATATGCAAACGGCGTAACGGCCGTGCAACTTTCAACTCAGGCAACTTTGCCGCATTCATTGCAGATAAAGGAATTCTCCCTGAGTCGGCGAGAATCGTTGCTATAGCTCATCGTGTGGACGCACAGTGACACACGACAGGGCTTTTCACAGTTTGAAGATGTACAGAGAACTCGCTGTGAAAACGTGCGTTGTGTGATGCACTGCTTGAATTTCTCCAGCCTGGCGCAAGTTGAGTGCAACCCAACGTGAGGCTCGAGCGTGGAGCTGTTCTATAACTCATGCCCGGTGTTCACGAATTCAGGCCGTCATCAGACCAATGAGAAACTTGGTTACTCCCAACAGAGCCACAATTAACACCCGGGTAGATCAAGGCAGTCCCAGCCATAAACAGATTCGGAATTCGCCACCATCCGCCCCTTCTGAGTCTGTTTACCCTGCCTTTTTTTTGTAGACCTTTTTCAGGTAACCCCTAGTTGGTGATTTGGATTGGTGGTTTGGGGAGCGGATTTGAACTGGTTCTTGTGGGTAAATGGGAAACCTTTCCTTCACCAAACCACCGATATGGAGCCACTGAGTTGTGGGCGGCTGACCCTTCCCAGTCTTGGGATCTGCCGAATCGCCGGGATCCGAACGATGCTTTCCATGTTCCTTTCGCATGCCTGGGCGCTACCTCCTCGGGCACCGCAAGTGCAGCGGAGGAGAGGGATCATGGTTGAGTTTCATTCGCCGGGGTGTGTCCGCGTTATAAGGGATTCGGGTCCCCACTTCTGGTGAGGACCCGGGTCTCCATAGAATTTCAGGTTTATTCATCCGGGGCTCGCATCCCGAACTTCCCAACGCAAGAAAATGCTCCCAGCCGAGCCGGAAGCTGTTTCAGGAGCCTGCCGCTGCAGAGGGAGATAGGACGGCTGCATGGCGTACTGCGCGTGCGTGAAAATTCACACCCAAGAGAGTGGCGTGCGACATTGACATTGAGATGTGCAGGCATTTTTGGGGTTTGTGACAGGTGTTGAGATGTTCAGATGTCAGAATGAAAGAATGAAAGCAGGTTGAGCCCACTTGTTGCAAGTTCGTTTTGAATGGGTGTGTGTTGAAGGCCACAAGTTCGTTTTGAATGGGTGTGTGTTGATGATTCATAAGCCGCTCACTTAAACTCCTGGGTTGTTGAAAATCATAAACTAATCCTTATGCCAGATGGTAGTGGCTTCCCTTGTTGTAGCACCCCACCCACTTTAGAACCACCCAGTGAACAAAGCCCTGAGATCAGGGTTTCTAGGTAATACAGCATGTCTTTCCCTTTTTGTTTGATGGTTTCCCACCAAATATGTTCACCCCAAAGAAGGGTTCCACAGTTGCTTTTGCTGCCAGTTTCCATGTGGGATTTACGCCCGGACCCTTTAACTACCCATCAACATGAAACATGGCCGCATTGGTCCTCAGATTTTGGGCCGATGTCCACATAATTTGCCGAAAACTTGGGTGTGTCTTTCTTTTTTTTTGAAATACCCTTTTGCCCCAGAGAAGGAGTTCCAATTCCTACACGCACTTCGGTTTTTCGGTTTCTCGGCGGATCTGATTTTTTCAGGACGTGACCTCCCCCGTGCCCTGGCAACCCTCTCTGCCGGCCTGGTGGAGCGCTCCGTGGAAGCCAAGCTGTTGCTCGGATGTAAGGCGAAGGCTTGGGCGAAACATCTTCCGACTCGCCTCAAAACCCTAAACCCCAGAACCCAAACCCTAACAGAGGAACGTACTCAACATACCACAACGGGGAAACCGAGTTTGGATGTGGCTTTTCTGGATCCACCCCTGTAAGTGTGCCAACAGATTCCTAAAAAGGGGAAGAACAGGTGAAACCCCACCAGAAGCGCATGCAACCGTTTTCTAGATTGTTTGTGGTTATGTTGACCCAGGATAGCAAGAGGTCGCACTGTGCTGCTTCGCCACCCAAAGTATTTGCACGATTTGTGTGTGTGTGTGTTGCAAACGGGACAGATGTGTTCCTTCACCAAGCATTAAGTCAGAGGCTTTCGCACATGTGAGCCATTGACACACACACACACACACACCCGGCGGATTTGCATGGACCGTTCGTTCACCAACAAGCCATAACCACAGATGCACGCCATTCAGATCGCTTCTGTGGGTTGGGCTGATCTTTAAAGGGTCTTTTTATGGATCCCTGAGACACCCCAAGGTCCATTGACGGGTTTGGATACAAATCAAAAGCCGTCGATTCGAACAGCACGCGGAGTGAGCCGGGTGTTTCTGAAGATTGGGGACCTTTTCAGGCGGTTTCCTTTCGGCTTCCCATTGACACCCATGCTTAAGGGCTTTGGTGCCTATTTGGCCATGGGCTTTTCAAAAGCCAAAAAATCCCCAGCCGGGCATCGAGCATCTCGTCCACCGAAAACACCTAAGGCTCCTGCTGGCCGTACTCGCGGGAGAGCACTTGCTGCTGCTGGGACCTCCCGGCTCAGGCGAGAAAATTGGGGAATGCAAACCTGCGACGGCATTTGGTTCTAAGGTCGAATATATATATATATATATACATATGTGTGCTTATAATACATATATATATATATATATATTATGCATACTAGTTTATTGGTTATTTTATGTAAGAATATATTCTATATATATATAGATAGATTTGGGTGTGCCTTGCTTTGATATGGTTTTGGGGTGGGGGAACAAAGGACAACCCGCCCGTTTTGTGCGTACCCCCATTTTGGGACAAACCGTACTATCTCTTTATAAGCGTCCTAGAACCCAACTAGGTGTCGGTCGCTCGCGAATCCCATGCAGCGAGAGTCGGTGCCCAGACTGAGATCAGAATGAAAGCCCAGGTTCACACGGGTGGCTCGCCTTTTTTTGGGGACCCTCTTTTGGTTGGGGGGTAGGGACACCAAAAGGAAGACCGTTGCGCTATTTCCGGGGACCAACCTTAAGAAAGACACGCAACATGTGTTGTTTTTGTGGGTAAACGGCCCAGCACACAAAAGGAGTTGTGAGCAACACCGGGTTTGTGGCTGTTTCTGGCGATTTCTGGCGGTTTCTGGATATAGATTCCTTGCGAGGTTTATGCGCAGTTGCCAAGATGCCAGGGGCACCACTGGATCATGTTCAGTTGCTCATGCTGTTTGAGACTCTATGACCAAACTTGCGTCGGCGCATGAGCTTGGGGAGGACACAATGGAATCGGAAGAGCATGATTGCAAAATGGGGCACGAAGGTCACGAAACAAACAAGGAATCTGGAAGCAAGAACCAAATTTGCTAGAGAGAATCAACTTAGTTTCTGTGGGGACAGGGTGGGTCCCTGGAAGGAGCCAGTAAAACCATTTATAATGGATTCTCTTGTTTGACCGGTTGTTATAGTATATATATATATATAATCATTTGTTTTTTAGTGTTTGTCGTTTTTGTTTTTTAGTTTTGTCAGTTCTTTCCTGAACACGGGCCATATAAACAAGGGGGTAAACCCATGTGGATGTGTCTTTTTTTGGACATACTTTTAGTTGGTTTCAGAGGAACACCAAAACGAAGATCATTTCCCTCTTGTAGGGACCCCTGTCAGGTGCCATGTTCGTGGGAGTCAGGGTATAACCTTTGCTGGTTGGTTTTAGAAAAACACCAAAGGGAAATCAAATATCACTCCCACCATTTTGGGGGGTGAGATCTTCCCCCATGACCTGGCATTTTTCCAGGCAAGAGTCAGCTGGCGGCGCGTTTGCAGCTTCTGGGCTTGCGGCACTTTCAGCGGCTGCTGACCCGCTTCACCACCATTGAGGCCTGCAGGTACCCCTTGCCCGGTAGGGTGCCCGGCTCGGAGGCTGAAGGAAAGGGGAGGACCCGGGTACCCTGTGCCCGGCGGTGTTTGGAGGGTACTTGGTTTTTTTGGGGGAGAGCGGCTTCACATGCAGAAAAGCAGGGTATGAACTGTGGTTTGGAAGCATTGGAGCTGTAAAACTACATCCCCGTGAGAGGCCAGGGACTCGTTTTTTTCCCGGCTCGAGGCAAGAAAGGAAAGCCGAGGAAAAAGTCGGGGGTCATTTTGACGTATCACTAGCTTCACATTTATGACTTGTGGGCGTTTTGTTTGTGCCCTTTTGGGGTTGTTTTACGGGGAATCTAATGCGGACACAAGGGGAGACCCTGCAGGTTAATAGGTATCGGTTTTTGGGTTCATGTGTTTGTCTATGCTTTCATGTGGTTGTCTATGCTCTAAGGGGTTGACTCCCCATCCCGTTCATCCATCCAGTTCACCGACAGTTCTTTTTAAAATATACGCACAAGTTCCTCAGGTTTGGGGGTATACATATATATATATATATACATACATGCACATGTGCACAAGTACAACAACATGTTGTTATTTTCTTTTCGCAGGACGTGTTCGGGCCGATGTCCCTGGCAGCTTTGGAGCGAGATGAGCTGGAGAGAAAGGTGCAGGGCTTCCTCCCAGATGCCGAGAGCGCCTTCCTGGACGAAGTCTTCAACGCGGCTCGCCCGAAGCAACCGCCAGGAATGCACAAGATGGGTTTGTGACGGAAGTTTAAACCCTGAAGGACACAAACCCATCTTGTCCAAACAAAACCCGGGGCCTGGACCAAATGTGTCCTTCATTTGCAGCCCCTGAGGCCCATGGACTTGTCCCTGAGGCCCATGGACCTGTAAGCCGTGTTTGTGTTGGAGTTGGTACCCTTTTTTTTTGGGAGGGGTTTCAAAGAGAAACCAAAGGAAAGCTACTTTTGTTGGGAGGTCCCTAAAAAGGCACACCCAGATTTCTCTGCAAACACGATGAAGCTTTGAAGGAAGTCGAATGCATGGGGAAATTATGATGAAGCTTCGAGCTTCCCGCAGGTTCCTGGGTCAGGTTTCCAGCAGTGAGCTTCCCCGAAACATTCCGAACAGTCGCCCAGAGTGAGCTTCACCTCCAAAAAGGTCGGCATTTTGTTCGAGTTCACAGCTCCATGCGGTTCCAAACAAAGAAACAAAGCAAACGGCCCAAGGCGGGCAGCGGTTTGCTGAATGCGCTGCTCACCTTGCTGAACGAGCGCCGGTTTTGGAGCTCCAAGGGCCTGACACGGGCGCCGCTGTGGTGTCTGGTGGCCGCGTCCAACGGAGCGCCAGATCTGGGGCTGGAGTCGCTCTATGACCGCTTCTTGCTGAGGCCGGCGCTTGGGGTCAGGCGTGGGGGTTGAATTCGGTGGACTTGGATTAGGTTGGTTTGGATTTGGTCAGTTTTGTCAATTATGCCGTTTTGTCCTAACAATGTGTTGTGGACTTGAAATTGTGAGGATCTGGCGATTCAACCCCTTGTTTTAGCCATGGTTGAGAGCACGAAGGGGCCCAGGTTGCGCGGGGCTGGCTGGGCAATCTTGGCCGTGGTTGGGCAATCTCGGCCAGTGACAAGCAGCAAATAACTTGGTTGGCCAGGCAACTTTAAGCCAGACGCTGGTGCGGGTTACCAAAAGGCCTTGTAATTTTGCCAACCCCCAAGCGGAGCCTGCCTGCCTGCCTGCCTGCCTGCGCTTCGCTAGACTTGAAACTATTTGACTTGATTGTTTAAAGCAAGCACGGCAATTACCCTGATTGGTGTGGGTGTAAAGAGAAACCAACGGCAAACCCACCATTTTTGTGGGTACTCTGTCGTAAGACAGACCCACTTCTCGTGCCACGATCTGTTGCTTTCAACCTGCCCCGCCATCGAATCGCCGCTCTCGCGTCTCAGGCGATGGGTTTCTCCCATCTCGGACGCCGGGCTCAAGGCAGGGGTTTGAACCACCAAGCTGCTAGACCTCCAGTGGTGACCTGGCGGTTCCCTGCGTCCACCGAAAAAAGGCGTGCCCTTTTTCCAGACCCACCGGGGGTCTGGCGCGAGGGGCCCAGGAGGCTTTTCTGGGTCAATTGTCCCCGATCGCCTTCTTTGGGTTTGCCTTGAACTTGTGCCGTTGCCGAAAATCAGCCTTCTTTGAGCTTCCCTTGAATGGGACCAGAGTTAAACTCCTAGATTTTGTTGTGACCAAGCGAACCAAGGGTTGGTTTCTGATGTCTCCAAACTCCTTTTGTAGTTTTGACCAGAATCAGGACCAGAGCTGATCCCAAGCAAAGAGTACAAGGGAAGCCAACAGACAAATGAGAGTGTCTTTTTGGGGATGTACTCCCTTTCTGGGTTTGTTTCAGCCAGAAATCAAAAGGAAATCAACCTTTTCTGAAGGGTGGTGCCCCTTGTTTTCCTTGTTGGTTGGTTTTACAGGGAAATCAAAAGGACCCCGGGGTCCCCGAAAGGAAACAAAAATCCAGACCCAAGTCGACGGGTTTTTTGGCCAGCCCTCTGGACTGGCCATGTTCACCTCAGGGCTTTCTGCAGCGCTGCCTGAGCCGCAGCGGCCGGCCCGCGGCTTCGCGCGGCTTCCTGCGGTGCCGGGAGGCCACCTGGGACCTGAGGGGTGGAGGATGGTCCCTTGAAAGGGGACCCTTTGGTGGGTTCCAGGTGTGGACAGGAGGGACAGTTTAGACTTGCTTTTTGCCGAAGTGAGAGGTTGTGCGGGTTATGGCTTGGAGCAAAGGGCGATCAAATAAGTATCGTAGTTGAAAGATTGAAGGGGTCACCCATTTTTCGTCGGCCAGGTGAAAGCTGCTGCTGGCAGAGTGGAGTTTCCCCCTCGGTTGCTGCATTTGCTGCCGCGGCTGCGGCAGGTGCTGCAGGTCTCCGGTTTGGCTTCAGCCAATTGGGTTTTAAACGACCATGAATCAAGAGCCAAATGACTTTGCTTGAAGGAGTTTTGGTTGTCCGTTGGTACGCAACCCCAGGATTTCCGAGCATTTCCTTTTTTGGAGTCATCAAAGTGGTGATCGAACTTTTGATTTGGGGAAATCCATTGAGCCCTGAGCCGTGGAGAGCCCCCTTTTGGGAAATCCATTCGCGGTCTAAACCCCAGGTTTCAATCTGGTGGCCCCCTGTGGTTGCTTCGTGTGCGAAGAGAGGGCCTCAAGATGGCGTGATGCTGTCGTCGCGTTCTGTGAGTTGTGCATATGTGGTTGTGTGAATGTGTGCATATGTATAATATATATATATACATATAATGTATATCTATGTACATAGACATGTACGTGTATATATATATATAGTATGCATTTATGTGTTTTCATATATATATACACATTATTTATTATTATTACTATGTTCAATGAGTAGTATTACTATCATTCGTATTGTTATTGTTAGTATTATTATGGTGATTGCTTCTATGACTGATTATCATCAGGTCTACAATTAGTTCTATTATTTAAGTAGTTCCTTATTTGTTTGTTTATTTATTTATGTTCTTTTTTTAATAATATATATTCTTGTTTTTAGTCATTCATTATTTCATTTATTGATCTATTTGTTTGTGAGTTATGTATGTGTTTGTTTATATATGCACGTTATTTATTTATGCTGTTGTGTGTTGTTTGGTTGTTTGTTTGCTTGCTTGCTTGCTTGCTTGCTTGCTTGCTTGCTTGCTTGCTTGCTTGCTTGCTTGCTTGCTTGCTTGCTTGCTTGTTTGTTTGTGTGTTTGTTTGTTTGTTTGTTTGTTTGTTTGTTTGTTTGCTTGCTTGCTTGCTTGCCTGCCTGTTTGTTTGTTTGTTCGTTTGTTTGTTTGTTTGTTTGCGTGTTTGTTTGTTTTGTTTTGTTTTGCTTGCTTGCTTGCTTGCTTGCCTGCTTGCCTGCTTGTTTTTTTGTTTTTTTTTTATCATTTCATTTTATTTTATTTTGCTTGCTTGCTTGCTTGCTTGCTTGCCTGCTTGTTTGCATGTTTTTTTTGTTTGCGTGTTTGTCTGTTTTGTGTTGCTCTATTTGAGTAAATAGTTCATTCTGATTTACTTACTTATGGATGTTTTAATTATCATATTCACATCTATTAAAACTATAAAACAAACACGTAATATACACATATATGTGCTATATGTACAAGGCTGCGCAGATCGCTGCATGCGCAGTCGATGTCTCGCAGGAATGGTATCCGCGAGCTCACATCTCAGACCGGCGCTTGGTCAAGGCTGGTGTGCATCCTCCGAAGCCCACTGCTCGAAGTAATTCAGCTAAAGTTGCGCTTGGCAACTCCAGCAACAACTACCAGGGTTTGCCTTGTTTTGAGGGGTACCCTTTTTGTGGTGGTTTTAAAGGGAGGCCAAATTGAAATCAGACACTTTCGGTTCCCCAGTTTAAGCCACTTGTTGTAAGCCAAAAAGACATCAACCACTTTTTGGTCTGTGAGGGTTACCCTTTTTGTGGTGGTTTTAAAGGGACAGCAAAAAAAAACACCAGCCACTTTTGGGGGGTTCCCCATTTTTAAGACACACCAAGCATGTTGGACGCTTCGCGCTTGCTCACCTACGTGAGCCCCAAGCTGCCAGGCTGCCCGGCTGCCGGCGCCTCGGCTGGGGGAGTGAATGAATTCAGGAGGTGAACGAAACAAAAGCAACGCAGCCCAAATGGGTCTGTCGTTTTTCAGGGGACCTCCGACTTTGTGGTTTAAAGGGAAACCAAGAGGAAAATGACTATCTGGGGGGCCGGGGTCCCCTAAAAAAGACGGCACAATTTGCGCCGCAAGGACGCGTCGCGGCTGCAGGAACCATGTGTAGGGATGGGTGGGATGAGATGCTCGGGAGGGTCAGGCTGCTCGGGTCCGGACGGGGTGGAAGGGTTGGAACTGGTGCGATTGGCGCGGCCGAGACGGTTTGGATGCTTTGGACGGGCAGAAACGACGTGGGGAACCAACATTTGTTCCAGGTTTGGGCTGCGTTTGACTTGCTTTACTATGGGGGTGTTCATTCAGGTGTTTGGAGAATGTGCAGGTCCAGGGTTGATTTGGGCTCTTGGCCTTGTGGTTGAGGGATGGGTTCATAGGGCAGGTTTGGGGCTGGGTTTAGGGCGGGTAAGCTCTGGCTTAGGGTTGGTTTGAGGTGTGTTTAAGGTTCATTTGGGGTTGGTCGGGTTCAGGTAGCCTTAAAGTTGGTTTTGGGTTCAGGCTTCATTTAGGGATATCTGAGGTTTCTTTAGGGTCGGCTTAGGTTCGATTTGGGGTTGGTTTACTCGCGCGTGTGCAAATCGGGGAGGATTTTTGATGGTCGGGTTAGACTTTGATCGGGGGGTGTGCCATTTAGAAGGGGTGTCTTCACTAGTTGGGGACTCCCTAATCGACCCAGTGGTTCCATTTGCCACTATAGTAACCATGCAGGGGAAAGTCATGATGTACCTGGTAAGAAATCCTGGTTCCCCACGGAAGTGGCAGCTGGAAGCACCGACAAATCCAGCTAGGTATTTGTTGGATTTGTCTCCCTTGCACGGGGATTTAGTACAGTTTGACATGGGTTTGCCTCCCCAAAATGACCAAGGTATCCCTTTGCTTTCCCTCCCCTCTGGTGCTACTCCGCCAGGTTTCCTCCCCTTCCCTTTAAGCCACTCACTAAAAATCAGCATGGGTGTCTCAATTCCAACTCTTTGGACATGGTCAAAAGTCGGGACCCCCCCCCCCTGCCCTTTTTGCACGGCAACACACGACCAGGGCCCCATCCATGAGGCACACCCCTCCTTCCTTCAGGTCACTCCCCAAAATCGTGGGTTGTCCTTTTTGGCTCCCTTTATGCACCCCAAAGATGAAATACCGTCAAAGAAAGGCACCGTAGAGTGCCTGTTCCTTTTGGTTTCCCTTTAACCCGCGTTTCCGTTCGCCCGCTAAAGACGGCGAACTCAGGGTCCAAGTGGCGACCTTCGCCGCAGGGGGCCGACAGGTCACCGAGCTGGACGGACGCGCCTCGCGGCGAGAGTGTGGAATGAACCGGTTTTGGTCGGAGTCCCGAATGAAGGAAACCACGGGATGGTTTTTTGTTTCTTTTCTTTTTTTCTTTTCTTGTTTTTTTCTGGGGTCACTCCATTCCCCATTCCCATGTTGAACCAGCAAGTGTTTCTGGATTCGCTCCAGTTCCCCTTATGGACCCAGTCATCCCGCCATAGGCTTCTGATTTTGATCGTCAGGTCTTTGCATGTTAGAGCCAAACAGTTCAAAGGTTCTCTGGCTCAATAGGGCTCAATAACAATAGGTTTCAGGGATAGGACTATGGAGATTGGAATGGAAGGACCGCTTTATGGCTATTTGGTAGCGGATCTTTGGACACTCCATTAAAAAAGAGCACAAACCCCACACAAAGTTCAACTTTTTTGGGGGTAATCAATATTCGTCCATCCGTCTTAAGATTCCGTTCGGGCCCCAAATGACCGTGGGTCACTGTTCTCATGTGGGAAATATCAGCTCACTGGTCTTCCAACCAATGGTCATCCCATCTTTACAGGACCTTTTGATCAACCCCCATTACGGGTCTATGATAATTCACTGCGCGGATTTTGGACTCACACCTAAAGTCAACTCCTCAAGGCTTGTCAGGGTCACCCCGGTAAATGGAAATAAGGGCCAACACCTGCGGTCCTTTGGTGGGAAGCTGTGACCCACGTGAGCAACGATTTGGTGCAATGTGTAGCGAGCGTGTGCGAGTCTGTGAATCCGGTGATTGAATGCGTCAGAGTTGGAAGGATAATACAGAGTCCCCACATCGCAGCGAGTCCCCAAATCCAGGGTTCCACGTTTTGACTACCCCAGACTTAAATGCAGGGGTTCCTCTGAAAGGGAACCTCCGGTCTGGTCACGGCGGTTCCGTGCACACGTGAGAGGATTCTGTGATTTCAAGTTGTTGAGCATCTCCACGACTGAGCCTGCAAAATCCTGCAAAGACCGCCTTTGCGGTCCAAGTCAAGCGTGGTTTGAGCTAACATCATGTCTGGGCTTTTACAAGGCTTTTGGGAAGTAATGAACCGTCCCTCGGTTTAAGTATTCCCTGGGGCAGTCAGAAAGTGGAACCCTGCCCCAATCGCAGGACCTGCTTTGCCTGCAGCACGTGCTTTGGGCCGGGCGCTCATACGTGGTAGTGCAGCACACCCTCCACAGACTGCTCCTTACAGATGAGCGTTCGGGGTTCTTTTGACAGTGCCTGTGATTTGACAGTGCCTGTGAACAAACTATTTGTGTGCGGCTATGAACTACAATAGGGAACCCCTTCAAAAGTGGGAGGTCGACATCTATTCCCACCTAAATTACGCATGTTTACCAAGGGGTACCTAACCAAAATTCACATATGACGGTCAATATACTTACTGTCATCCGTAGTGAAGGGGATGGCACGATCTGGCACACATTAAATTCCATGAGGAAGTGGGGGTTCCTTACCAAAATCCCATGCCGTACCATGACTATGCATGTGTATCAGCAAGTGACAAAACCGGAGGCCGGGGAAGCCGATTCCGGCAGCCCTCGATTGGCTCTGTCTTGCGGCTTGGGAACTTGCACCCCCATTCCTTCTAGAATCATAGTGGAAGGCACTCAATGTCCAAACCATCCATGTGAGCTGGCCAATCCTTGATCCTTTTCGAAAGGATTTGGTCCCTTTGGTGTTCCCTTAGATGTGGCTTCTAAAATGGAACACTTCCATTTGCTTAAGAATAGTTGTTCTTTTTCCCGGTTGATTTCAGACATATATATGTATTTGCGTTTTGTTGTTTCCCGCAGGCGAAACAATAAAAAAGCAGAGACCATGGAGGAACGGGAACCGGCTGAGCCGTTCGCCTCTTGCCACGGAGCAGGACCGAGAGCCCCAGGGCTCCTTGCGAATCCGGGAGTGGCTCATGCAGCACTTGCTCCCCGAGGCGTGGAGTGTTCGGCCCCGAGTTTTCTCTCGGCGCCTGCGAGCTTCGTGAGAAACGAATGCTCGCTGCAAACGAGGTGCTGGGAAGGAAGGATTTTCTTGGGGGAGGGGATTCCTGAATGAAGGAAACCAGCGTCTCAGAGGGAATGGTTAGGGGCATTCCCTCATTCGCTGCTGAGAACCAAGAAGAAGATGGGGGGCATGTGCTAAAAGAGTTGGTTTTGGAGCCCGCCCTAAAGTGGATTCCGGTTCTCCTTGTGGTTCCCTTCGGAACGGGCACTCTCGAAAAATACATGTCTGTTTGCATCCCCAGATGTGTTGTCCCATCCGAGCCTTTAACACATCAACGGCCAAATTGACCCTGTGAAAAGGGCGAAATCAAGTTCCTTCTGACAGGTAAGTTGCCCTCTTTTTTTCCCAGACGTCCTGGGTTCTCTTTAGGCAAACCAAATCAGTGCAGGACACCTTGGATCCAAATCCGACACTTCTAATTACATGTTGGATTGAACAACCGATCGCAGTGCCAGGTTTCAGGCGGAGAAGTTGGCGATCTTTACGTGTGAAGCCTGGCGATTGCACCAAGATTCGCGCTGCGCATGTCGTTACGTCGGAGTCATCCGGAGGGAGATCATGTCCCTACTAAAAGGGAACCATCCCTGATTGGCACGGCCCTCCGGAAAAAAACTTCGAAGTTGGCATTAATTCGGGTATGAGAAGCACCCGACCATTTCCTGTTTGACCCGCAGAGTCGCGTTCTGGATGTTTGTTGTCAGAACTTGAGCAATGTAGACAGCCATTTCAACCTCCCTGCTTTTTGCTTGGTGCTTGGGAACTGTCTCTTGGAAGTCTCCTACCAAGGTGGTGTGTGCCGAAAGGCCCCAACTGCAAGGGATCTACCATCGCGCAGTGGCCGCTGGGTGCTCAGCGCATGGGCTCTCAAAACCGTTTTGGCCCCGGCAAAGCGGTTTGTTTTTTGTTGGTTGAAGACAAAGAGGAGAAACACCCACCAAGGACACACCCCGGCACGTCCACTGCTTTTGGCGCCTGCAGTTTCATGTGCCTTTTTCATGATCCTTCATGGGTGACCTGCAGCTCACTTCAATCCACATTTGAATGCAAGTAAGACTGCGGAAAAGGTGCAGAAACAGGTTCCAGGCTCTGTTCAAAGCCGCTTCACTCCATGCAACACCAGTCTGGAGAACTGTCGCTCAAACCCAGCTGGGTCATAAGCTACTTGGGGCCACTGAAAGCCACGTTCCCATACCATCTGGATCGAGGAATCTGGAGGCCGCGCCTACCATCAAAGCTCAGGCGGGCTTGGGGCAGCCGTTGGCCCTGTGGTCTCTTTTGCAAAGGCCGACCCCAAAGAAAAATCCTCCAGCTGGTACCTCCGAAGGTGGTGATCGTTTCGATGGAGCCCACCAATCAGTTGCAACTTTTGAAGGGGCAATCCAGTGACCCCTGTCCAAGCGCCCAAGACCAGTGGGTCCAACCCTGACAAGTTGGCACTTTGGATGAGCCGACTCAGGCGACGGCCGGATTTTCTTCCAGGGCGGTTGGTGCCTCAAGCCGCTTGGGTTGCAATCCATGCTGTTTCGGAATTAATGGTGGGAATTGCCAAATGACGTGGGTGTGGGTCAAACGTAGGGTAACCCCAAAATGGGTTTCCCTGGTGAACGGAAACATGGACTAACACCGATCACTATCCTGGTGACCACGGGTTTGCGTGTCTCACTGAGAGTTTATTGTTCACTTTTTGTTTGCGAAAACGGCACCAGCGCTTTCGAACGTGAACTTAAAGTCACTTTGAGGTATATGTTTGGTCCATCTCTTGGCGGTTCCCAGCCCTCCGGTTCCTTAGGTTTTTAGGTTTCCAGTTGGTTTGGTGGTTGGGTTTCCATTTAACTTTTTGCAGGGGATCTGAGGACAGCGCAGATCTAAGCAGGCACACTTAGGCCCCCTTTACCCCTAGCAATATTCTCGCGAACCGGGTGTGTCTTAAAGTAGGTGACCCCCAAAATGGTTGGTTTCCCTTCAAGTGTGCCTTTAACATCTTTGAAACCAGCCAAAAGGGGGTTCCCCCCAAAAACGACGCACCCAGCCACCCTAAGAACCCCCAAGATTCTAAGAGCCTTTCCCCGGGGGCCGGGGCGTAGGTTTTCTCTCGAGGTCTGCGGGCGATTTCTTCTACAGCGACCATCAGGCCAGGCCGTTTTCCGGCCATCCGGCCAACAAAATGCAGGCCGTCATTAAGCAAGCGTCGTGCAAAGCTGGGGTCCCGTTTTCTCTCTTGGCCAGTTTAAAGGATCACTTGGACTGAGTGCCAATTTTTCTCCGGTGGGGAGAAGTTTTGGGAGCCCTATTAAACAGGCCTTTGCTCGAAACGTGCTTGTCATAACCAGCAGTTCTCACCCAACTGCATGGGGAAGTGAGGAATCTTTCAAATGGTGGGTATATTCCTTGGTGTCCCAAGGAATACTCCCTTGATTGACATGATACCTGAACCAGACATGGAGCTCCCAACTGTCTGTTTGACAGGCTCCTTGACATGGACTTCCGATCATTTAGGTCGGAATCCGCTTTCCGTCTTCCTTATGAATGTTATCCTCGCATCAATATCCTTCTGGTTGCTTCCTGGGTATCCGGGGTCCCTGAATCCTTCACTATGGGTGACACCACAGTAGGATCGGTTGATTTGAGAAAAGGTGTCCGGAATCCTTTACTGTGGGTGACACCACAGGCAGGCATGAGGTGGTTCATCCGGGGCTCAATTCCTATCAGCTCTGACAGCTTACCCCAACAAAGTGAACTCCAGGGTCCAGAGCCTCCTGTGGGTGGCTGGAGCGGAAAGGAGCCCGAAAATGAGGCAGGACTGCTTGAGAATTGTCCAAGAGTTATAGATACAGTGGTGGTTGAGACATTGAACGACCAAAAGCAAAAGCATCTTGCAAACAGAAGCTGCCAATCTCGTGTTTCGACTCGTTGAGGCAATGGTTTCACACCATGCTGCCTTTGCGTGAGAGCTTTTCATTTCTCAGCTGCGTCTTGCCTGTTCTGCGTGCCATTCAGGACGCGGAGCCTCCATCAGTCTGGAAGGCGTGCGGCAATCCGAAGCAGAGTCCGTCTGCAGTGGGCTGGCCCAAGGTTGCCGAGTCTTCAGGTTAAGAGTTTGAGGGTGGCCAACCATTACTTCAGGATGTTCGGAACGAGCATCCGATTCGGTGTCGGAGAGATCGGCCGCTTCTCTGCGAGGTCGGGACACTTGGGGTCAGGACCCTTTGTTGAATTGGGTAACGAGTTTGAGGGGTGGCACCTCATTGCTCAGAGCACATAAAGCAGTCGAATGCGCCAGGTTCTGGACGGCAGCGCAAGTGACCACGCAGCGCTGCTGGCAAAGGCATCGGGGAGCTTGTCTTAGATGGGAGTTTGCTCCGAAAGACCGTCGGTGCTCCCCTTTTATGGTTTTAAAAGTAAGCCAAAAGGAAAAACACCATTTTCAGAGAAAATACTCAGGCTCTGCCTTGAGTATTTCGAACATTTGCACCTTGCATTTGTCAGATGTTCACCATGCCTTGGCCGCAGATGCTGCTGCAACGACGGACGAGGCTCGAGAGTGAGGGTGCAGCAAGCAGCACGCAGAGCTTGATGTGCTGGAGCTGCACTGAACAGTATGGCATACTGCTTAACACACGGCTCGACTGCAAGGCAAATCCTAGCCTTTCTGTGTAGAAGGCCGTGTTTTGAGGAAGGTGGATTGTCTTGCACTCACTGCATTGTCCTCATCAAGGAATCCTTATCAATTTCTAACGATTCCTGATAAAGGAACTCTTGGCAAAGAATGATTTGTATCACCTACCCACTGTGGCTACGCTTCGATCGTGCCTTCGGGAGCCAAGTCAACCAACGCATCTACAGCCAATCAGCAGCTAAACACGTCAGAAAACACATGTTCCGCTCGGGCTTGCCATGGCCGACGGTTTCAATGCTGGCGGTCTTGACTGTGGTGCTTCTGTGCCCAGCGGCAAGCCTTGTGTGCGATAGGACGGGTGATTGTTTCAAGTCGTGTCCGTTTCTAAAGAGCTCTGTGCCCTTTTCATGGAAAGGGGCAAAGGGAAGCCAAGCATTCTAGGGACCCGCCCCTCCCCCACCCCCCCAAAAAACACAAGGCTTTCACGGGCCCGAATGCTGAAGGGCAATGTTGGTTTGGCAGGGGGCCTCGCACTTGGGCCCCACACGACTGAATGGCGGCCGGTGGTTGCAGGTGTGGAAAAGACTGCGATCGTTGAAAGTAAGCTCAGAGCACATGAATGCTTCATTTCCGTGTACTGAGATTCGAGTAAGTAGAGGATGGATTCAGTTTTCAAATCTGCTGGTGCTCGCTGCTTCAAAGCGGGGCGGGTGGGAGACGAGGAGGGATATTTGTTGTTCACGTCGGGATGCTGAGTGCTGCTGGTGCGTCCGTGATCCAAAGCCCGCCAACCACATAATGTCTCCCCTGTTCTAGAACAGCTGCGCGGAGGGCCTGGCGTCCGGCGTGAGACCGCGCCTGGAGCCTTGAGCGCTTGTGCGCTTGAAAGTGACAGATTCCATTGATCCGCTGACCTGCTGGGAGAACTTGCAGTTGCGCGAAGTTGCCTGAGGGTGAGGCAACTTCATATGGGTAAGACTGCATTCGCAATCCACGCCCAGCTCCGCGAAATGAACCATGCATGGGTGATGTGATTTGAGCTCTGAGAATACTTTCAGCGAGAATCGCACGTGTTTTCCACACGTGCAACAACTGGCTTTCATTCAGTCATCAGATGCAACACATGTTGCTGCTTGCTCCTTGCCCCGGATAGAAACCCTGTGCTCTGCAAATTACCAGGGCGGGAGGGGGTTGGATGCGGACGGTTGCAATACTGTGAACTCCAGGAAGGGCGAAGAGTCGCCTTGGTTTGATTTGCTGCAAGATGATGGCGTTGGCATCAGCGGCCTTGCGCTGACTGATGGAGATCGCTGCCCCATCATCTCTCTGATCAGGACATGCCAAAAAAGTCCTCCTCCGATTGGTGCCGTTGAACCCTTGCGATTTCCTGGAAACATGTTCCTTAAAAGGGTTGGCTTTAACATCACCCTTTGGCCATTGGCCAGGCTTTCTGTGAGTTCGTCTTTTGGTGGGGTTTAAAGAGACATGCGAAATGCCTCCAACAGACCCATAGGTTTCCCATGGTTTCCCTCAATGCTTAGGTCAGTTCGATTGACCGAAGGCACTGGTTGCAATGTGGTTTGGAGTTCATTTACCAGTGCCATCAGCTTTTCCAGGCCATGTCAGAAAGCCCTAACCGGCTTCTAGTGAACGGGTTCCGGATGCCTGCCCCAAAGCACAACGGCCTGTGTATCATCCGAAAGAGAACCCATTTCTTGGAGCCAATTCGGGTCGCCCAGACCTGTTTTGCAGCCTGGCCATCCGGCGTTTTTTGTTTTTTGTTTTGTGTATTTTGCAAGGAGAGCTCGAGCTGCAAAGCCCAGCTTTAGCGTCCTGGACATCGGCGCAGTAGGCGTATTGGTGCGTCGCAAAATTGCTTAGAATAACCAAGCTCGATTCGCTCCCTTGGATAAAAGAGAGGTTTCGACAGTTTGATGTGTTCAAACACTTCTTTTCAGGTTGCATGGCTAACGTGTTGTTGCTTTTTGTTCGACTGAATGGCCTTTTGTTTAAGCCCCAGGCAACCCTTGGTCTGTACATTCTGGTGTGGCGGACGTGATCTTCGATTATCAAGCCACCAACTATCCCCCGTGCTTCTCTACGGCGGAGATCTCCACTCGGGGAAAAACCTGCTGCTCATCCAAAGATGATGACTGCTTCGATGAGCTCTACACCCGCGAGAGGCACACGTTTGGCAAAACACTAGGTCCCCCAGTAGTGCCCTTTTACCCGTTTTTCGGGGAGGGTTCCCCTACTAAGATAGACTACAGAAAAAGAATACCCTTATTCTAACCTCTCACCTGGAGGACCTAGAACATGTTCCTGGGGAGCCAGAAGGAATTGTAAGCATGCTGAGGATGGAGTCGATCCACAAAAAGCGCCAGTTGGTGGGTGGTTTCTCGCAGTATTCATAGGGCTTCATCCATCCCACCTGGCGCGAAGCGGATTTTGTCCATCCACAGTAGACCCCCTTCACCCATTCCCCTTTTGTTAGTTGGTACCATGTCAACCCTGTACTAAAAATGCAGGTATGTGCCAAGGAAAACCGATGGGTCGTCCAAAGACTACCCTATTGTTTAAACTTGCTGGTGCTCAGCCGGGTATGTGGCAATGAACCAACCAATTCCCTTAAAGGAAACCGTAGGGCCTGGTTTTTCTCGTGGTCATTCCATTTCTCCCTCCCCAGGTGCTGCAGAGGCGCGGACCCCGTGTTCCTGGGCATGATCGATGGCGATGTCACCGACGAAACTGGCACCGGCTGGGAGCGGTTGCAGAGGCTGGTGGACATGACCAGCAAGTTCGACTTAGCGCCTCTGACCTCAGCTATGGCTATGGCTTCCTTTTGTGGAGTCTCTCAAAATGGCGCAGCCTGTATCCCTTTTTTTGGGATGGTTCCAAAAAAAAGCACAGGAAGGCAACCTTTTTTTTGAGCAACACCCTTTCTAAAACTTGTTCTGATGTTGTAGATCGCAACCAATGGGTTGATGTTGGTGTGACAGAGCATTGGGGACTGGGAGTAGCTTTGCATTTGCGAAGTTCCAGGTTAATGTAGGGAGTGCCTTTTCCGCACTTCTGAACTACTCCCCTGCGAACAAACATGGAACCCGAACAGGGGATTTTCCAAGAGGAAGCTCCTTTACACATGATGGTTGTCTGTGTTTCACGCTCATCTGCCGCGGAGTATTGGTGGGTGACAAGCAGAGGCCATTACGTCACACCTCCTGGAGGATGTGACAAATCCATCGGTTCTTGCGAAGCTCCTTCCGCGCGTCGCGAAGGCCGGCGCCTTTGCCGAACACGGAGGGGCTGCGCTTGTTGGGCTGGTCTCAGTGAAATCCCCTGATATGGGTATGGGTCGAAATGAATCCGCTGGGGGACCGCAGGTTTTAGCCAGGGTTCCATTTTCGATACCCATTTTTGACCCACAGCCAAATGAAATCACATGGGCTCTCGGCTCTCTTGTTTCGGTGTCATTCCCGAACGATGCCGACTGAGAGTGAATGAGCAAGTAAGCATTAGGCAGTGGCGTGCGGTTTAGGTCAGTTTGGTTCGAACATTAGATATCATAGTGAACAATGTGTAAGCCCAACTGTGCCCAGGGCAACGATGCCAGCCAGGCGCGCGTAGAAACTATCCTGCGGACAAATACGTAATTTCTCCGTGCCTAAGCTATCTTGAGCCTGAAGAAACACACACGCACACAAAGCAGATGCATTTAAGGGCATGTACTTGGGGGTGGTGGTTTCATCTTTGATAGATGGGTGCCGCTGGGTTTAGTTTGTCTCTCGTCACTTTCCATTGCCCTTTTCCAAAAGGGCCCGCCCCGGGCATCGTTCGGGTCTTTGGCACCTGACGCCTTCCTTACGGCAGTGGCATCCCGTTGCGCTGAGGAATCGTTGCCGTTCCCTCCAAGTTCTACGAGCTGGCGCGGCTCGCTCCGATTCCACACGAGGGCAGCGGCTTGGATACGAGTTGTGCCTTGGTCCCTTGCTTTCCGTTCATTTGGTTGGTTCTCAGTAGGCAATGTCAAGAGTCTTTTGGGCACAAACTGCAAGCGATGATTTGTAATGGTTACCCCGCCCCTGATTAATACACCCCGCAGTTATTAGTCAGGGGAGTCTTTCTGGAAGAAAGGATTTCCCACCAAAGAGGGACCCCACTTATTGATTGTGGGAGGGTGGGTTATTGATCAGGGGTCAGTCAGCCTGTTTCTAGGGGTCAGTCCCTTCGAAGTCAAATGTTCGAGGCATGGCCGGGCGATACCGGGGTGCCATTCACCACCGCTGGATTTTCACGGTGCAGGAAGGGACACTGCTGGCAGTGCCGAAGCTTCCTTACCTGGAGCAGGATGACAGTTTTCAGGAGTTGGAGGCTTGGACTGAAGATGGCTGTGGCTCAAAAAAGCCGGTACCCAAAATGGATCCCTGGTAAGTGGAGACATGGACCAAAACCTGCGGTTTGCCCCTCCTGTTTCATTTTGAGCCACACCCATATATATATATATATTTATTTATTTTGTTGCCAGAGTTGTTCTGGTGGTTTCCGTATCCTAACCCCAAAAAGGCTCAAGAAAGGACACGCCCGTGTGAAACGGCTTCCTGACATCTTCGAGTTTGAATATTCCAGCCCCCTTCCGCATGGGACCTCAAATATATATATATATATATATACATAAAAGCGGCGGAGATCGATCCCCTTTCCTCTTGCTTTGAGATTCTCAAGCCCCTGGCCACAAACCGATGTATAGAGTTTGCGTTGAGCGCCGTTGAGCGCCAAGGAAGCTCTGGGCTTGAACCAGAGCTTGGTGGATTTAATGCTGCTCTGGCAGGACACCTTGCCGATGAGGCGCGGATCAGATCTGTTGCGATTTGTCGCAGATCCAAGCCTGACCATTTCCAACATTGACATCCGAATCTATACAAAAAGTCAGGTTCATACTTCAATTTACAAACACACACACACACACAATTGCCTGCTTGCTTCCACGTGACAGGCCTGAGTCTCGGTGAATTCCAAACCTGTGCGTAATTCTCAGTACCAAGCCATGGTGGAAGCTCCAAAAACGTGGTTTCTTGAGTTTTCCCAGCAACTACGCAAAGGGTATCCTGAACCCAAAGACACGCCCATGTGTATTTGTTTGTTTGCCTTGCTTGCTTGCTTGCTTGCTTGCTTGCTTGCTTGCTTGCTTGCTTGCTTGCTTGCTTGCCTGCTTGCCTGTTTGCCTGTTTGTCTGTTTGTCTGTCTGTTTGTCTGTCTGTCTGTCTGTCTGTCTGTCTGTCTGTCTGTCTGTCTGTCTGTCTGTCTGTCTGTCTGTCTGTCTGTCTGTCTGTCTGTCTGTCTGTCTGTCTGTCTGTCTGTCTGTCTGAGGATACGGTCTCAAAAGGAAAACCAACAAACAAAACACCCATTTGGAGTCCAACATATCTATTTGGGTGTGGTGCCTTGTTCGAGTTGGTACCCTTTTTGGGCTTGTTTTAAAGTCCCGTTCACCGGTTTTTGTTGAGTGTGCCATTTGGCCAGGATCCTGAACGACGGCTTCATGGGCCCCTCAGGAGACGCGGTGGTGCGCATGGTGCGAGACGCTTTGAGCCCTGCGCAGCCCGACGACGTGGACGCGGCGGTGACTTCACGGCTTGTGCTTGCCGCTCGCGGCTCGAAAGCTTAGCGTAGCCGGTAGCCGGCGAGGTCGGTGTGTCTTTTTCTTGGAGCATGTTCGAGGGGTCCTTTGCCGGGGTCTCAACTTTACTTTAAGGGGTTCTCAACATTACATGATTTTCCTTTAAAAACACCTTTTGATAATGTAGATGTCACTTTAACGGAGGGTTTTCTTTGAAAGGGTCAGTTTGGTCAAATATCGATGAGTTCCACTTGGTTTGCGTTTCATTTAGTGCCATCTCTTTTCGCATAAAGGACACCTCGGACAGTGAGTCCGAAGGTTCTAGGAGAGTGCGACAAAGCTGCTAACAGTGCTTGCCGCCGCGAGGGAGAGGTGAGCCAAATGAGTTTCACATGCCCATTGGCAGGTCGGGCACGGAGCTTTTGGCGGCTCTGGAGGCGCGTTCTGTGGTGAAACCCTCGGAGAGATGTGAGACGGAGCCAGGTGCTCAAGAAGCAGCGTGAAGAGGCTTCGGACATCCGGCTCCGAGCAACAAAGTCCCAGAAGTTGTATGCGCTTGCAGGTGTTGTCTTCATTGGAGGAAGCCAGTCTCTCAGTTGGCATGAGAGAGATTGCCCACGCTGCTTTCACTTTGGTTGTGCCTCCGGGGCGTCGGAATGAGAAGGGACACAACAGCATTTTGCGGAAGCCGTGAGCATACACCAAGAGAATCATCCGTACACGCCTGCCATGAAGGTATCAACCTCATGGGCAAAGAGATCTTGAAATGCAGCAGCAACATTTTGGGGTTCCATCTGACTTTGATACACCTCTTCTTTCCATTTCACCAGAGCCATCTCTTGAGTGCGCTCCCACGTCTGTCCGTCGGAGTCCGTTCGACCGGCCGAACGGAAGGCGCCGAGTGGTTTCAAGCCGAACGGAAGGCTTCACGTAGCGCTCGAAGGATCCAAGTCGAAAGTTGAAAGACGTGGGGGACCATTCGAGACATGACGTCTGGGTTCCCTTCTTGAGCTTGTACCCCTTGTTTGGTGGTAAAGGAAAACGCAAAAAAAAGGGAAAACAATTGGGGAGTCCACTGGCACACTGGCGGCCCATCTGGTCTGCCTGAGGTATTGAGCCACTCAACTCGGTCTATTTGGTTGGAGGACAAGGGTTCGACGGTGTGTGTGAGTCTTTTCAGGGAACCCCTCTTGGTGGTTGTTTTATGGGAAAAGCCAAAAGGACACCTTGAAGCCATTTTAGGGGGCCCCCCGGCACAACAGACACACAGGTCATGAAAAAAACAGGCCCTGTCAGCTTAAGACGCCGAGGCCATTTTAGGGGGGGCCCCCGCACAACAGACACACAGGTCATGGAAGAACAGGCCCTGTCAGCTTAAGACGCCGAGGCCATTTTAGGGGGGGCTCCCGCACAACAGACACACAGGTCATGGAAGAACAGGCCCTGTCAGCTTAAGACGCCGAGGCCAATTTTGGGGGGGCTCCCCCAACAAAAGACACACAGGTCATGGAAGAACAGGACCTGTCAGCTTAAGACGCCGAGGCCATTTTGGGGGGGCTCCCCCAACAAAAGACACACAGGTCAAGAACAGGACCTGTCAGCTTAAGACGCCGAGGCCATTTTAGGGCGGGCTCCCCCAACAAAAGACACACAGGTCATGGAAGAACAGGCCCTGTCAGCTTAAGACGCCGAGGCCATTTTAGGGGGGGCCCCCGCACAACAGACACACAGGTCATGGAAGAACAGGACCTGTCAGCTTAAGACGCCGAGGCCATTTTAGGGGGGCCCCCGCACAACAGACACACAGGTCATGGAAGAACAGGCCCTGTCAGCTTAAGACGCCGAGGCCATTTTAGGGGGGGCTCCCCCAACAACAGACACACAGGTCATGGAAGAACAGGACCTGTCAGCTTAAGACGCCGAGGCCATTTTTGAGGGGGCTCCCCCAACAAAAGACACACAGGTCATGGAAGAACAGGACCTGTCAGCTTAAGACGCCGAGGCCATTTTAGGGGGGGCCCCCGCACAACAGACACACAGGTCATGGAAGAACAGGCCACGCCGAGGCCATTTTAGGGGGGGCCCCCGCACAACAGACACACAGGTCATGGAAGAACAGGCCCTGTCAGCTTAAGACGCTGAGGCCAATTTTGGGGGGGCTCCCCCAACAAAAGACACACAGGTCATGGAAGAACAGGACCTGTCAGCTTAAGACGCCGAGGTCATTTTAGGGGGGGCTCCCCCAACAAAAGACACACAGGTCATGGAAGAACAGGCCCTGTCAGCTTAAGACGCCGAGGCCATTTTAGGGGGGGCTCCCCCAACAAAAGACACAGGTCATGGAAGAACAGGACCTGTCAGCTTAAGACGCCGAGGCCAATTGGGGGTCCCCCAACAAAAGACACACAGGTCATGGAAGAACAGGACCTGTCAGCTTAAGACGCCGAGGCCATTTTAGGGGGGGCTCCCCCAACAAACGACACACAGGTCATGGAAGAACAGGACCTGTCAGCTTAAGACGCCGAGGCCAATTTTGGGGGGGCTCCCCCAACAAAAGACACAGGTCATGGAAGAACAGGACCTGTCAGCTTAAGACGCCGAGGCCAATTTTGGGGGGGCTCCCCCAACAAAAGACACACAGGTCATGGAAGAACAGGACCTGTCAGCTTAAGACGCCCAGGCCAATTTTCAGGGGGCTCCCCCAACAAAAGACACACAGGTCAAGAACAGGACCTGTCAGCTTAAGACGCCGAGGCCATTTTAGGGGGGGCTCCCCCAACAAACGACACACAGGTCATGGAAGAACAGGACCTGTCAGCTTAAGACGCCGAGGCCAATTGGGGGTCCCCCAACAAAAGACACAGGTCATGGAAGAACAGGACCTGTCAGCTTAAGACGCCGAGGCCAATTTTGGGGGGGCTCCCCCAACAAAAGACACACAGGTCATGGAAGAACAGGACCTGTCAGCTTAAGACGCCGAGGCCAATTTTGGGGGGCTCCCCCAACAAAAGACACACAGGTCATGGAAGAACAGGACCTGTCAGCTTAAGACGCCGAGGCCAATTTTGGGGGGGCTCCCCCAACAAAAGACACACAGGTCATGGAAGAACAGGACCTGTCAGCTTAAGACGCCGAGGCCCCCCCAACAAAAGACACACAGGTCATGGAAGAACAGGACCTGTCAGCTTAAGACGCCGAGGCCAATTTTGGGGGGGCTCCCCCAACAAAAGACACCGCGGAAGAAATTGGGTCTGCCGGCTGAAGATGCCTCCTGCTTTCCAACCTGGCGCCAGGAAAGTGACTTTGAGGACGCCAAGGCGAAGCTGCTTCCGCGCCCCGGGCTTAGTGACGCGCGAGCGAGGCGACGTGGATTCGCGCGGCTCAGCCTGGAAGGGAAGCAACCTAAGAGGAATCAACCTGAGAGGAAGCCACCGGTATGGGTTTTATAGAAGTCATTCCATTTCTCCTTCCCTGAGCACCAGGGGAGCAAGCAACATAAATCCCCGTTGGTTCCAAGCCTTCGTGCCTTCCAGGCGCCCAGAAAGCTGTGATGCAGGCCAGGTGGATCAGAATCGGGCCACGTCTGTCCTTTGAACGTCGCAGGTGGCCGAATTGCTGGCAACAACAAACAAAATGTATTAAATAATATATATGTATGTATATGAATGTAGATAATAGGTTGAGGAGCCTACGTTTGCCTCGCTCCGCACTGACTATTTCTGGCACAGACTAGATTGAAGGATTTTGGGATGTTTTCATTTGAACGTTATTATAAGAGATTGTTTTGTTTGTGTTTGTTTGTTGGTTTTGTTTGTTTGTTTATACCTTAGGGCTTCGCCATCACTAGCTGCGCTGGCCGGTCGGATAGGTGAGATGGGGAAGACTAAGAACTCTCTTTAGGCGGAAAGAGCCTGACCTCCGGACCACCCCAAGCTCACCCTCGCTGCGTCCGGCGCGCGTGCGCGCCCCATGTGTCTCACACCGAATGCCAAGCAGACCAAAAAATGCATCCCCGGCAGTTCATCCTAGCCCCAGAGAAACCGATGGACAAATGCTGAAAAACACGGTATGCACGATTTTTTCGCACAGCGGCGGCGGCCGCATTTGCGGAAGAAAAACCGCTTACTCGATCCTAGATTTGTCCGCTATGTCTGCTTACCGCTAAAACCTATTTTAGGGGGCCATTTTTGAAGTTTGAGTGATGTAGGGGATGTAAGGGATGCTGGAACGCCCAGGTGCCGGTGATGTAGGGATGCTGGTAGGATGTAGAGGATGTTGGCAGAGGAATGTTGGCGATTGTCCGGGGCGATTTGCATGGTATTTGCAGTGTTTTTGGAAGGTCGGGCAACGTGGCATTAGAAGCCCGTCGTAAGGCTAGGGAGGAAATGTTTGGGCCGGCCTGCATGTAGGTGATGTAGGCAATATTGAGGAGGAGTTTGGGGTATAATATAATAAAACACGTTAGTGGTATATCTTACGGGTAGGATTGCCCTCGTTCTTCGAGCTCGAAGACAAACAGTTTGTTTATATGTTGTTTGGGTACGTTTTTTTGTTTAATTGTCATATGTTGATATTGATTTTTTGTTGTTTTTATTGTTGGTTATTGTGATTTTAATATAAGTTGTTATTTCGTTATTGAAATGATACAAAGAATAAATATTATATGTTATTATTATAATTTATATTTATTATTATTATAAAATATTTTTATATAAAGAAATCTTAAATTTATTGGTAATAGGATATATAAAAGTAAGTATAAATAAATAATATTATTAAATTAAATTATTGAGTAATAGAAATTATATTTTATAAGTTAATGTGATTTTGTGGGTTTTGTAGTGATTTTTTTGATTTTTTGGAATTTTGTTTTGGGATATTTTTGTTTAGATTTTGTATATTGTATATTGGTTATTGTTTTTCTTAATATTGGGGTTATGTTTAAGAATTTTGGTGTTAGATTTTTTAAATAATATTTGTAAATTTTATGAAGAAGTAAAAAAATGTTAAATTTGTTAAATAATATTAATGGAATATGTTTGAGAAATACTTAAATATCAAATATAGATTTAATTTAAAATTCGGGTTTGGTTATGTGTATAGGTAATTTTGGAGGTATGTTCGAAGGAAATGGTTTATTTGGATATGGTTATTTATAAAGGATTATTTTTTTTGGTGTGGGTGTGATATTTACTTTTGTGATATGAGGAATTGTTTTTGTATTTTGTTTTTTTTTGGTTTGGATTTTATTTTTGGATGGGGTGGGTGAGATTGTGTTATTGATTTTGTTATAATATTAATATAATTTAAATATTAGTATAATTGGAGATATTTTTATTTTTTTTATATTGTTTTTATTAAATTATTATATTAAGGTGATTGGATATATTTTTTTGGTATTAATTTTTAGAAACAAATATTTTTTGTTTTATAAAATGAATTATAGGAATTTTAAATATATAATATGGAAATAATTTAGAGAGATTCTTCGATATTGAGGAATGGGAGTGGGGCTTAGCTTTTGTTTTGTGATTGGGTTTTGGCTTAATATAAAAGGATTGGCAATTTATAATATAAATGATAAGTAAGTTTTTAATTGGAAACATGTTAATTATTATATAATTTTAAGTAAAATTATTAGGAATTGTTTTACATTTCGGCAAATTTTCGGGGTTTTTATGATTGTGTGAAGAGGCGGGCTTGTGTTATGGAGAAAAGATTAGGATAAGCATAGTTGTAAGTATTACGATTTGGTTGGAATATTGAATGGTTTGTCGGTATATGGGAAATACGATTTCGAAATCGAATTATATTTTAATAATAATATAATATTTCTCGAAATATTTTGAAACAATGGTTTTCCAAATACTGAGAATATGGCGAGTAGTTCCGATTTCCGGATTGTTTATTCGAAATATTTAAAAAAAAAATAGGAAATCGATCGATTATTAGAATTATCGATTATATATAATTTAATTATTTAAAATAATTTTAATTATTATTATATAAATATAAAAAAAATATTCTATTTAATTAATTCTTGCTCGTGTATAGGTGATGTTTACGGACAATCTCTATGTTTTTTTTTTGTTTGGGTTTTGAATTGTTAATAATTTATTATTTTGTGATAGATGGTCTTTTGGTAAATGTGTTTGGAAAATAGTGAATTTCTGAATTTTCGAATCTATTTTTCAGAAATATAGGACAAATGGGAAGCTCGGCTAGGGCAAGATAATTATATAGGATTCGGGACGGATTGCATTTTATATTTTCTTCTGTAGAGTTGTTCTTAGCGTAAGAAACCATGATATAGAGTTTGATTATCGAATGGAACATCGGTATATATTTATGTTTTGATAGAGTCGTTAGATCTTCTCGTGTTGCAATTGAAGTGATTTTAATCGCGTAATGGAAAGGTATATAAAATATTGATTCCTTTAAAATTATTATTTTTAATATATTTCTTTGTTTTAATTCTGAATCTTTAAATATTGAGATAATATAATAGTATCTTTCATTTAGGTCCTTTATTAGACACGGGGTATTATCGTACCATGTTTTTTAATACGGCTCAGACGGTGAAATACCTAATGCCTTGCTAATTTTGCATAGCAAGGATATTCGCATATTGAAAATAACAATTATGTTTTAAATATTAAGAAATCAAAATTAATATAAATTATATATATATATTATATATCAAAAAAAAATCAATCCATAATAACCTATACGATATAGAGACATAAGTTCCTAAGCTATAACCCAGATTGCTTAGCGCAATAATATCGCACCATTATCGAAGTATGGCCTTACAAATTTTGCGAATTTTCGAAATATTGGTAAATAAATAAATACAAATAGAAGAATATGTTGAGATTTAAATTTGATTATATTCTGATGAAATATTGTGATTTTTATAGATCATTTAGCAGGTTTTATAATCTATATATATATAATTATTTATTAAATAAATTCCTTATGGACCATCTCAAAATACAATTCCTCATTTGTTCTCTGATTCTATCATCTATCAGGCGGGACAATCCCGCTTGATATATAAATTATATTGAATTTAAGAATATAAATATTCCAATTATAAAAATTAATTAAAATAAAATAAAAAGATATTAATCCTATATTTGTATCTTTCCATATCTTTTATATTTTCACATATTAATATTAATTAAATCAATTCCTTCCATCATTTCTATTAATTATCCTTATCCATAATAACCGATGGAAAAGATCCTGAATAAACCTGCAAACACAATCCAAATAACCATAATGGAGATTTGCTCCAAGAATTTCGCTAAACAAAATCGATTTCGTCTAACAATATTTTGTTTTGTCAATTTCAGATTATTAATTGAATTATTTGTTATATCGTAGATTATTGGATTATTGAATTAATCGTGTTTTGTTTTTTTAATTATTAATTGTGTCCTTGTTTTTGTGATTTGTTTTCTTGTTTGTTTGTGTTATTCTATTGTTTTAATTTTTATTTTGTGTATTTTAATTTGTTTTTAAATATTTAATTTATAATTATTTAATTTATAATAATTACATTTACAGATTAATTTTATTATAATATTATAAAATATTTAGATATATTATTTTTAATATAATTATTATATATAAAAATATTATAAATTAATTATATATATTTTTATATATATTTATATTATATTATTCGATAATATATATTTATTATAAATATAAAATATAAATTTAAAGATAAATTAATTTAATTTATAATAAATAAATCTAAATATATTTATTTATAAAATTATATATATATATTTAAATATTATTTTCATTATATTTTGGAAATAATATATATAATTGTTTGTTAATTTATAATTCGATTTTATTTTTGTATTTAATATATCGTTATTTTTGCATAAATTCTATATTTATTTCCTAATATCTTCGAACATCTGGGTTTTTAATTCTAATTATATAAATATATATTATAATTTAATAAATATATATATAAATAAAACATATTTTTATATTAAATTAAATATTATATAATTATTTTATATAAATTTAATTATATATAAAATATTATTAAGAATTATATTTATTATATTTAAATTTCAAAAATTAAAAATCAAATTTCTTTTTTTGTTCAATTTTTTAAAAAATAATTTAATTATATATATATATTATATTATAATTTTGTAATTTAATAATATGATACAATATATATTAAATAATAATATAAAATCAAGATAAAGCAAATTAATAAAACAACAATCTTAACACATATTTCAATATAAATATATTTATAATTATCATAATATATATAATTATCCAATTTTAAACACTATAATTTTAATAAAATTATTGTCAAATATTTTCATACAAATATAAATAAATAATATATATAAACCATAACAATATATCAATAATAAATATAAATAACTATATATTACTACGTACACACAATCGAGCAAATGTATTTACCACGGCCGCGACAAAAAGCGTTTTTGCGCGCATGCAGTGGAGCGGATATGATTATCAAAAGCACTTAACATACGCATGACGAAAAGCATTACACGCAAGCAATCGAGCAGATATGTTTACCATGGTTGTGACGAAAAGCACGCGTGCCGTCGAGCGGATGTGCTTGTTATGCGCAGTCGAGCGGACACGACGCAAAACATTTCTGCGCGCATGCCGTCGAGCGGATGAAAAGCATTACTGCGTGCATGGCGTCGAGCGGATGTGCGTCTCGTGTGCAGTTGAGCAGATGCGCTTAGCATGTGCAAGCAGTCGAGCAGACATGCTTACCATGGTCGTGGCGAAGAGCGCTGCTGCACGCGTGCCGGAGGTGCTTGTTATGTGCAGTCAAGCGGATACGCTTACCACGGTGTGACGAAAAACATTTCTACGTCGAGAGGATGTGCTTAGCATGGGCAGCCGAGCGGATGCGCCTACCATGGTTGAGACGAAAAGCATTGCTGCGCGCATATCGTCGAACGGATGTGCTTCTCGTGCGCAGTTGAGCGGATGTGCTTAGCATGTGCGTGAAGAAAAGCATTGCTGCGCGCACGCAGTGCGCGGATGTGCTTATGCGCTTGATGAAAAGCATTGCTCTGCGCGCACAGCCGAGCGGATGTGCTGACCATGATCATTGCTGCGCGCATGCAGTGGAGCGGATGTGGTTATCATGTGCAGTAGAGCGGATGCGCTTACGATGTGCGTGACGAAAAGGATTGCTGCGCGCAAAAGAATTGCTGCGCGCAGTCGAGCGGATGCGCTTACCGTGTGCGTCACGACAAGCATTGTCTCACGCAGTGGTGCGGATGTGCTGGTCATGTGCGTGGCGTTGCTTGCAAGCACGCAGTCGAGCGGATGCTCTTTTAATGTGCGTGACGAAATGCATTGCTGCGCGCACGCGGTGGGGCGGATGCGCTTACCATGTGCGTGAAAAAAAGGAGACACGCAGTGGAGCGGATGTGCTTATAATACGCAGTTGAGCGGATGCGCTTGCCATGTGCGTGACTGAAAGCATTGCTGCGCAAACGCAGTCAAGCGGATTTGCTTACAATGCTCGCGACGAAAAGCATCGTTGCGCTCATGCAGTGGAGCGGATTTGCTTACCAACATCCGCGAGAAGCACGTGGCGGTTTGAGGGGGCGGCGCCTGACCGCGGCCTGAAACCTGAGAACAAAGGGATTAAGGGACTCCAGCAGTCCAATCCCCACTATAAGCCTGTCAAATTCCCCCTGCCCCTAGAAACCACGACCGAATTGCCCCTGCGCGAACATGCGCCCACCATATATCTTGGGAACGTCAAACAAACACAACACTTCAAGGCAAACCAAAACACGGTACCTCAAAGCCAGCCAAAAGCATGCTGGGCGAAGCGGGCAACGCGAAGCTTTACAATATTTTCTTTTAGGCCAGGCCCAAAACAATCACACTAGATCGTGTGGTGGTTATGCTAAAGTCTAGTAGACCTTAAAACCTGACTTATAGAGGTTGTGCTAAGTTCTACCGTAAGTTAACTTGAGAGACTTACTGTAACTAACTTATAAGGTGTTTAGGCTAAGTTCCCTAAGTTCCCTAAGTTCAAATAAGTTCAAGTTCGCGGTCAAGGAGGAGAGCCCAGAAAAACCTGATTTTGGCATGGATGACGACGAAGCGAAAACGCAAATTGCGCATATTCATGAGCTCGCAGTGTTGAAATTAAGGGGGTGCATGTGCAGACGCGTGTCTCGCTGATGCTTGCTTTGCGCCGCAGCCGTTGTCGCTTTTTATTTTTGTGCGTGCTCTGCGCGGCCTTTGTCGCAGCGGCGTATAGCCCCATGGCGACTACAGCACGATGCCCGCGTACTTCCCGCGCTGCTTCGTCGTGGAGGAGCTCGTGCAGCAGCCACACGCCGCGCGCCTCGAGGAGATGACGCGGTTCCTGGAGAGGCCCGGTCTTTGCGCCCAAAGAGAGCCAACGTTCGGGGTCATGGCGGCGGCGCTTCTTGCAGTGTAGGGAGACGATGCGCCCTTCGAGAGCTGCCGCGCCTACGATCTCTTCTTGTACGTGAAGTTCTTCTGGCGGAAGGGTGCCCGGCACGCTCAAAGCCGACGCAATGGGTTCAGAGGTTGCCGGAAGATCCTTTCAGCGGGATTACGGGGCGACTTTTACGGGCGCCTTTGACAAGATGCAACAAGATGCAGGCCGCCAACATCACAGATGCCGACTTTGCGGCGGAAGTGCGCAGCGTGACAACGCGCGTGCTGATGAGGCGCACGAATAGAGCCCTTTTTCTGGGCGGCGGCCAGGCAGACGGCGGGAATCTGTCCGCGTGGAACCCGCAGCCCCCAGCGGGCCGCCAGCAGCAGCTGCGGGAGGCTGCGGCGGCCATGCTGCAGCAAGCGCTGCTTGGGCTGCAGGTTGGGATGCAGCCGGCGCAGCCGGTGGTCGAAATCCTTCCGCGGAGAAAGCCCGCCACTTGGAGCGGGCTCACGGGTCAAGTGCGTGATGTCATGGGGCGCTGCCCAGCGCTGGCCGACGCTTCGGAGGCGGAGATGGACTCGCGGCCAGTGGCGCGGCCACTCGCGGCCGCGATAGCGGAGAAGCCGAGCCGGACACTAAGAAGCCTCGTGGCAAGATAATGCAGGTATAAGAGAAAGTAAGTAGACAGTCTAGATACCGGACACTTAGTCTGATCTTAGTATCTATTGTTTCTTCTAATAGGAAGATACTAAAGATTAAAGAATAAAATAAAAAAAGAGACAAAAAATCACAAAATATAAAAAGAAAAACAAGTTAAACAAAAATGAGTACAGATTCAAAAAACCATGTAAAACAGATTAAACAACGAAAACAATAATATATAAAAAGATAAGCTCATGTGCAGAGTTGCAAAGAGCTTCCCCTTAAGCAGAAGAACAGTTGCAACATGCAGTTAGCAAGGGGCCGGATGCATCAATAGTTGCGACTTTCGTGCTGGAACTGCGGAGGTGTCAAGCACTTTTCTCTCATGACAGACTAACAAGAGCCCCTGTTACATACCTCCTTGCCAAGATTCGCGCTGCGTCGGACGTCACATACCTTTAAAAAGTCATAGACATATATAATCGTTTCCGAAGAACGGCATCATCCTGGCGCAGTACAATATGTGCTTGTTACAGTAAAATAAGTATCTGAGAATCCCCAAACGTAAAAAACAAAGAGGAAAAGCCTGGCTCTGGAAAGAAGAGGTTTGGAGCCTGGAGCGGGCCGCTTTTTCCACTTAGTTTGGGTTTGTGGTTCTAGTTTCATTTATGGTTTGGAGGGGGCCGCTTGTTCATTTAGTTTGGGTAGGCAGTTTGCAGGGGGCCGGTTTTCCGTCAGTTTCGGTTGCTGGTTTGGAGGGGCCATTTGATTCATTTAGTTTTGGTTGGTAGTTTGGAGGGGCCCACTGTTTCCATTTGGTTTGGGTTGCTGGTTTGGAGGGGCCGTTTGTTTCATTTAGTTTGGGTTGGTTGTGTGGAGGGGCCGCTGATTTTTTTTAGTGCAGGTTGATGGTTCTAGTTGTTGTTTTCTTCTTTTTTTCCGATTTTCGTTATTGGTTTGGAGGGGGCCGGTTTTCCATTAGTTTCGGTTGCTTGTTTGGAGGGGCTGTTTGATGCATTTAGTTTGGGTTAGTAGTTTGGAGGGGGCCGCTTTTTCCATTTGGTTTGGGTTGATGTTTGGAGGGGCCGCTTGTTTCATTTAGTTGGCGTTGGTTGTGTGGAGGACTTTTCCCTTTAGTTTAGGTTGATGGTTCTAGTTTCAGGTGGTTTGGAGGGGGCCGCTCTTCCATTTGCTGTAGTTTGGGTTTGTGGTTTGGAGGGAGCCGTTGTTTCATTAGTTTTGGTTGTTGGTTTGGAGGGGCCGCTTGTTTCATTTAGTTAGGGTTTGTTGTTTTGAGGGGCCGCTTGTTTCATTTAGTTTGGGTTGGTGGCAGTTACCCAAGTTGGGTCGCTCAAGTCATGCTTCTTTACTTGGGAATTTTGGAAAAACATATTAAGTCAACATCCAGGGTCCCTCGAATCCTAGTTCCTGATTTGGGGAGACCAACAAAGTTCAAAACACCGGGCCCCAAAGTGATGTTTCTTTACTTGGGGAGTTCAAAAAGTTCAAAAAGTTCAAAACACCGGGCCCCCACAATGATGTTTCTTTACTTGGAGAGTTCAAAAAGTTCAAAAAGCTCAAAATCCCGAGTCCCAACAGCGATGTTTCTTTACCTGGGGAGATCAAAAGAAACAAAAAAGACCAACTGCAGTTGTTTGTTCGCAGTTGGTTTTTTTCAATGCCTGTCACTGGCCTGCTTGGTCGGCCTGCTGCTTTTCATGGAGTGGGATTTCTTCAGTAGAGCTTCCCATTTGCTTGTTGTCTCTAGCTGCCTTTTTTTGTTGAAGGTGGATTTTTTCAGGGCCTGTCATTGGCCTGCTGGTGGGCCTGCTGTTTTCTTGAAGTTGGATTTTTCCGTTGGGCTTCTAGTTTGCTTGTTGTCTCTAGCTGCCATGTTTTTTTGTGAAGGTGGATTTTGTTCAGGGCCTGTCGCTGGCCTGCTTGGTCGTCCTGCTGCTTTTCTTGAAGTGGGACTTTTTCCTTTGGGCTTCTAGTTTGCTTGTTGTGTGTGGCTGCCAGTTTTTTTGTGCAGTTGTTTTTTTCAGGGACTGTCACTGGCCTGCTTGGTCGGCCTGCTGCTTTTCATGGAGTGGGGTTTCTTCAGTAGAGCTTCCCATTTGCTTGTTGTTTCTAGCTGCCATATTTAGTGGTGAAGGTGGATTTTTTCAGGGCCTGTCACTGGCCTGCTTGGTGGGCCTGCTGCTTTCTTGAAGTGGGATTTTTTCCATGGGGCTTCTAGTTTGCTTGTTGTCTCTAGCTGCCATATTTTTTGGTGAAGGTGGATTTTTTCAGGGCCTGTCACTGGCCTGCTTGGTCGGCCTGCTGCTTTTCTTGAAGTTGGATTTTTTCCATTGGGCTTCTAGTTTGCTTGTTGTCTCTAGCTGCCATGTTTTTTTGTGAAGGTGGATTTTGTTCAGGGCCTGTCGCTGGCCTGCTTGGTCGGCCTGCTGCTTTTCTTGAAGTGGGATTTTTTTGATTGGGCTTCTAGTTTGCCTGTTGTGTGTGGCTGCCAGTTTTTTTTGTGCAGCTGTTTTTTTCAGGGCCTGTCACTGGCCTGCTTGGTCGGCCTGCTGCTTTTCACGGAGTGGGATTTCTTCAGTAGAGCTTCCCATTTGCTTGTTGTCTCTAGCTGCCATTTTTTTTGGTGAAGGTGTTTTTTTTCAGGGCCTGTCACTGGCCTGCTTGGTCGGGTTGCTGCTTTTCGTGAAGTGGGTTTTTTTCCATCGGGCTTCTAGTTTGCTTGTTGTGTCTAGCTGCCATTTTTTTGGTGAAGGTGTTCTTTTTTCAGGGCCTGTCACCGGCCTGCTTGGTCGGGTTGCTGCTTTTCGTGAAGTGGGATTTTTCCACTAGGCTTCTAGTTTTGTTGTTGTGTGCGCCTGTTTTTTTTTTCTCTGCGCAGCAGAGCTTTTTACTGGCCAGAGCTTCTAATTTGTTTGCTGTCTGTGGCTGCCATTTTTTGTGAAGCTGGACCCCTTTCAGGGCCTGTAGTTGCTTGGTCGGCCTGCTGTTTTTGGTGAAGTGGGACTTTTTTGGAGGGGTTCATCAATTATGCTATGAAATCTTTGAAGTTTATAAACCATTGAAATATTTTGGTATTACAAAAATATTTCGGCTGTGAAAGGAAGCCGCATATTTGCAATCAGAACATAGTTGAAAACCTGAAATTGTCCTGAAACAATATGTATGTTTCAGATTCTATTGGTGAGACAGCTGAAGATAGACAGATTCAGACATATTCAGGTTTTCAGACTGTTTTCAGACATATGTGTGCATGATTCAGAATCTGAAAAAATCTGAAAACATCTGATTTTTTTCAGATGTTCATCATTTCCTTTACTAAATTTTCAGATTCAGATTTTTTCAGATTTTTTCAGATTTTTTCAGATTTTTCAGATTTTTTTCAGATTGTTAATTGTTTTTCTAATTTCTCAAATGTTGAGGAAGTTTGATCAGATTTGATTGCAATTCTGAGTACACGGGACCTCATTTGTGGGCAAGTCTTGATTTGTGAATATATATATATATATATATATATTGACCTACCCATATGTATTTGTGAATGGTTGTGATCAGTGATATTCTCATTTACGTAGTTTCATACTTGACTGGTTGTCAACTGAGATTACTTCTTAACATATCAAAACACGATATTGTTTGCTTGTGGGTTGTTGCTTGCGAGTACAATGGAAATGATTGATGAACTATGTTTTGAGTGCTTAATATTTTTTTGACACTCATATCAAGAAAATACATAAATGAATTGTCAACATGTTTGTTATGGATTTGCTCATACTGTGAAATTCAACTCACACATTCAATACAGCGACCTTGAGTATGACCGCAGCTCTCAGCTCCTTCATTTTGAGATGTTTAATGTGAATGATTCTCATCAAACGACTCATTATTGATTTGATCCCAGTTTGCTAAACAAATTTCTTTGCGTTTCGCAGCGATCATTTCGCGCGGATACATGCAGTAATGAAATAAGACTGGTAGATTCTTGTGCTGGCCATGCAGCGTGTTTCGACCACGGTGGTGAGATGTCGCATATTGCGCTGGGCTCGTTGCCACTTGGAACCGCGAAGCAGATGCGCCGTTGATGCAACTTTCATCTGAGATGTGGACAGTGAGTCTGGGTGAAATATGTGCGTGCTTGCGGCCATATTTGCGACACATCTCTGGCGGCTCTTGCTGCAGTGGACAGCGCTTGCGCCAGCTCATCTGATAGCCGCGTGATGGCTGCGAGCGGGCCTACAACCTGCATGGACGTCGTCGCTGCTTCCGTTCTTTTTGGACAAGATTGCAGAGTTCCTTGGTCGTGGATGCCCGGTCTCTCACACACCTGTCACATGGCAACGCGCGATTAATGCGCCTCGATTGGGTTGGCATGACATGTCTCAGTTGAACCCATGCCAGAACCTGCAGTTTGGCTTACTAGCTGCCGACATGGCGCCCAAAACGTCTGCCGCGGCAAAGGCCAAGGAGGAGCCGCAGGCTCAAGTGCGGAAGGTTGCCAAGGTGCATGGCAAAGGGAAAGGCAAAGGCCGCGGCAAATCTGCTAAGTCACGTGAGGAACCTTCCGACTGCGTCGAGGTGTCAAAGGACTTCTACAAGCGTGCTACGGAGGAGCTGTCCTTCCAGATCCAGCAAGGCTGTTTCACTGGCGCCTCCGAGGCGATGGACGTGTGGTGTGCGCCGGGTCGCCGCGAAGCAGATCTCAACGCCTTCGCGGAAAGCCGCCGCCCGAGCGCGCTGGAATGGCTCCACATGTTTGTCAAGCAGACAAGCCACGAGGTGGTCGTGGCTGCGGAGCGGCTGGCCAATGGCTTAGCCGTTGGCAAGTTGCGGCCCAGTTGGGGAGCCCAGAACATCTCGATCGGCTTGAGTCTCGCCCGGCGAAGAATGAGGTCCTGAAGCGCCACAAGGAACTCGAGTACTGGTTTCGCGCCGACTGCTTGTTGGAAGCCCACGCAGAGAAGGAGCAGCAAAGCGCTAGCGCGCACGCGGGACAAATCCC